TTTGGTTTATTATTAACTTGGTTGGTGCGAGTTGGCATTGGTGCGAGTTAGCATTGGTGCGAGTTGGTCTGGTGCGAGTTGGTTTTGGTGCGAGTTGACCTGTGACCTTCTCGCATACGACCTATGACACATGTTATCATGCTTTTCACGTGACCTACGCCGGTCACCTGATTTTACTATTTTCCTTTCTCCGACATCTTTTCCATCGGAGCTATAGATTGAATATGACGACAGTAGAGTCGGAGTTCCAGTTCTCATTCGGTGCTAAGGGTTCCGTGTGTAGGCTAACAGTGCCGGTGTCGATTCCCATGTCAGTTAGCGTCGGAGATTTAGTAGGAAGGCTGGTGAACGCCCACAATTTACCTTGCTATGTGGAAAAAGGTGAGTGCAGTGCCGAATCGATCGTTTGTGCCATGTTAGAGGTGCATAATGCAGCTGCAGTTCAAAACTTGCTGAATTAAAAAAAGCTTATTGCTATTACAAATGAAGTACTAATAGATTCACTAGAAATGCCAAATGGGCATACCGACAGAACCCGGCAACAACAAACGCTAAAACGTTGCCCCTGATTTGTATGCGCCCTCTACGACATATCCATTCAAGTTTCACGGCATCTCATTCCGTTTTGTTCCTATTTCAATGTACGTGCAATATATTTCATTAATTAAAACGATGCTCTGCTCCGTAAGCACCAATTAAAAACGTTTAACTAATAACTGGAGCTGTGTGTAGCAGAAATGTTCTTCAGGTTTTAATTTCATAGAACTCTATACCGGTACTCATGATTATATTTTCAAATCACAAAACGATCGAGTTACGTTTTGTTGTCTTCGGAGACTGTCGTGATGTTGGCAAGGGAATGTTTTTAAGAACTGAAAAATTAATTTGACAGGTAAACTGAAATTATTAAAAGTAATTAAGGAATTCAATGTTGTGATCAAATATTCCTAGTGTTGAAAACACACATATGGTAAAATATGTAATTATTCATTAAAATGTATTTGTGAAAATACGATGACAATATTTATTTCAATTATACGCTTTCAGATCTCCACAATGCACTGGAGAAATTTATATCGGAAGAAACTACTAAATACCATGATGACAATGCCGCAGACTTGATTAGTAAGATAGAAGATGGAAGTATTGATATTGGACAGATGGCTGATAAATGGAATACTGCATTTACACAGGTATTGCAACATTGTGTATGAAATTCACATTCACTGTTAGATTCACATTACTGTTAGAATCATTAACAATTAACTTTTTGCATAGATGCATAGATGTTTGTACAAATAATAGCCTGTTGATAACACATTTTATGTTACGTTGATAAAGTTCCATTTTCAGATAAAAATAAATAACATAAAAAAAGTTGAAAATTGCATGCTCATTATTTGTGTTTTGGTCAATGAAAATAAATTTAATTACACGTATATCATTATTTTGTATGCTGTAGGAGTTTTCACATGGAAACTATAGTGATCAGCCTTAAAGTGCCTGTGAATTGGCTACTATTTTCATGCCTAACATTATCCATTGATACATAAATATTATTATTTTTTATGTTTCTAAGCATGAATTATTTTTTTTAAGTGAAAAAATGTGTTTTAAACTCAGTCTACGGCAACTTTATTTTTGTGTGTTTTAAAACGAGGCTCCTCATTAGCTTCTTATTTGCATACATAAATTCCCCTTGTGACATCAGCATGGCAGCTTGCATTGCCGATACGTGTAAATAAGGCAAATTTCTTGTACAGTTTTCTCGTCTTTGACTAAATTGTCACTTATGTACTTGTTCGTCGAGGAAGAATGGACCATAATGAACACATAGTATCAATTTTTGTTGCATGGGATTGAGTTAGATGCGAAATATGTCCGTTCTGTTGTAGCTGGTCACCGTGATCGTCACCGACACTGGTGCACGTTTGTACACTGAAACAATTAGCAGTGTGTAAGGGCTGAGTAATTTCCTGTTTGTCTGATGCTTTGTTTTCGTGTCACTGTCAAAATTATTGCTACCTTTTACTTAACAGGGACTAAATGGTCTCTATAAAACGATAATCAGGATCGCAAAAAAGTCAACTCATTTGAAACACTTGCCGGACGTCTCTCTCTCTCTCTTCTGAAATCCGCCTCAGTGATCATGGGCTGGTCCGGAATCTATTTCTTTCAAAAGTGTTGCGCCAGGTTTACATTGTCGGCGTTTCTCTTTAAACCTAGTTTTTTTTTCATGGACGAGGACAGTTTTTCCAAAAAAAAAAAGAATCTGAAGTTAAGTGGCTTTCGTTCACTGATGTCGCACCTTCGGATCGATTAGAAATGTGTGAATACATATACTATGACTATACGTTTCACTGCAACTGCCCACAACACAACATCTTAAAACTCTCTCTCAAAAAAAATAAAATAGACCGAAAAATGTATATCGTTTAAAAGTATACTGAATGACCAGTGTTATTATGGCTCATTTGGTGGTGCACTTTCGGCGAGAGTCACAAATCCGGAAACAGTCGACAGTTTCAGGATAGGTGGGCGTGGCTACAACACGAGAAATATCCCAAATTTACTTGGATACGAGTAATCATTTTCAGCAAAAAAATCAATAACTGCCCATTTCAGTGGGACACAGATCTAAAATGGGAAACGTGAGAGTGGGCATTGCACAGGCACTTTAACCTTTTCACCACCAATTCCCTCTTTTCATCACAAATTCACAAAATGGTCTGCACTCTTCTACAGTAGATTGGGACAAAAATGGCAAAATTATTTGAGTAATTCCTGAAAATTGACTCAAATTTTGTCTGTGGGTTCCAAAATTGGGGTTCATTTCCAGAAATATTGAAGAATAAAAGAATAAAGTGCAGAATAATTTGGGCAAGTCTTGTGGTGAAAAGATTAAAAGTATTTGGAACAAAAACTATGATATCCGCATTTAATTTTTACAGATATTAAATGTGACACAAATTTAGCAGCCAATGACAGCAAAAATATAGGATATTAAATTATTAAATCAAAATAATGTGCCTTAAGATTGTGAAGTAAATAAAGAAAAAACATATATGTATATAGTCTATATTTATTTAATTTGATTATAATTTGAATAACAAATCATATTTAAATAAATAATTTCAATTGCAAAGACTTTCCAATGTAACCCCACCACTTGCCGTAACTCTAATCCTAACCCTCCCATCCCCCGCTTCAGTTGTATATGCCCCTCTAGATAACTATAGGTGTTCTCTATTCATTTTGTTATCACCTTATTTGCTTCTTGTGTGTCTCTTTGCCAGCTTTTTACTGTGAGGCTAAACGGGAAATTCTAATTTTATTTTCTATGCAAATTGTTGAATTAATTTTTGGCATTCAACTTCATCCATTAATATCATTTAGAAAAATTGTATTTTCAAAATATTAATTCAAACAGACAATAAAATTCTTTTTACAAAACCACTAGGTATCTAAGTTCAATTTTAACCATTGAACCATATAATGTAAATTGGAAATCTAGGACACATAGGCTGGCAGCAAAGCTTCTCACTTCCAAGAAACACAAGATATATTAAACCCATCTACTCACTTATTAGTTGACACCATCTACAATATTTACATGTACACTTTGATATGTTGAAAATGTCTACATTCTGATTGGTTGAAGACGTTCATAATTTGGTTGGTTGTTAACATCTGAAACAACAAATGATGTAATTTGATAACATTTTTTTTTTCAAACCAGGAACATAAATCCTATGCCACTGCAAAACAGTCAAATGATGAAGTAGCATTTGGTGAAGTCTACCATCAACTGATTCATTCCGCTGCATTGGACACGCTATTAAACCTGGACCACTCGTATGCTGCCGCAGTGGAGGAAATTATAACGCATAGAGATATGGACCTCACTAAGCTACAAAAAAGGTTAGTTGTGTATTATTATGAAAACATCACATGATACGTCACTTGTTCATAGAATAGTAAGTTCAAGTAATGTCATGAGTATCATTCTGCTCTATGTATAAATAATATCACATGATAATCCTGTTATCACATGTGTACCAGTGTCAAAAAAAAAAAGAGAAATTTTAATTTTACAGAATTATGCTTACCAATTATATGCTAAATTAAGCTAATTAGAACACGTACATCAACACGAATTTGCTGTTACAGCAGGTGATGATTTTGAATAATTGGCAAAAATATAAACTTTCTTTAATATTGATATTTTTTCCAAATTAACTTTCAGTCAGCAAAACGTGGGGTCTGTTAAAATGTTAGTTGGTTCAGTCAGGCAATGTGTGGACCAAAACATCGCCCACTATTTGAAACATCGCCCATGGGCGGGGTATCAGCTTTTATTTATGGGTAATATCGGTGAGAACATGTGGTATTTGCAAGAATAAATTTTGATGTTTTTTCATGTGCATACTAATACACTGCGATCAGTTAGATCTGTATTCGTGGAGGGCAATGAGTGTCATTGCTTTGCTCCTTTGGACTCAGTAGCTATCCTTCTTTTATAAAACATTACTGACTGACCAAACTTATATACTGTTGTGATAAAAGAACACATACAATATCAGTGACACTCTTGGCTAATCAACACTATGTATTTATACGTGTGTACCTTATAAAATCCTTGTAGGCAAAGAGAAAAAATGGAAGATGCTGTTAAGAGACTAGGCACGACTTATACTGATGAACAAGTTAATTTATTGGCAGCTAAACATTTTGAAGATACGCAGGTAAAAATGTATACAATTGAATATAGTCATGGTGCAGGTTGGGAAAGACACGTACATTCATGTACCATAATAGCATTTTATTGATCACATATGATATTTCATTAGACGCATAAAATCCTTACAGAGTGTCTTACAGAAAGAAATTAAAAAACTATAATCTAAAAAGGAAAAAAAAAAAAAAAAAAAAAAAAAA